CCCTGCGACCCCCAACCCCGCCGAGGAAACAAAACCTCCACCCCGTATTCCCGGCAGGCTAGAGCGTTACAAAATTATCGTCGATCTCGGAGCGGCGGACGTATTCCAGTTACCTCGTAACATTCCCACTGAATCAGCATACTAACCTTGACATAGTCATCATTGTATACAGAGACGATTGTAGAATAATCACGATGAACGGGGTATACCATGAACAGAAGAGCGCCCTCGTCGGCGGGTTTTGCGCCTCTCTCGATGTTACACCGGTGGCCTCAAGGTCGAGTTTCCCGTCCCCTGGAACCACGATTTTCGAATTCCTAACCGAAATAACCGCCGCGTTCAGTACTTCGCCATAGCCGCCGCAATGACCGAGTGTGGAGGGTGCTCCTACTAGGTACCAGGTTATGGTAGGGTAAGTTATCGGCTCCGCATCTAGTTCGTGTGCGCTCTATCCTGCCGTGAATATGTGGTGGATATTTTGTTTCCTCGGCGGGGGTTGGGGGCGGTAGCCCCCTTAGGGGGGGTCGCAGGGGGCTGCGCCCCCTGCAATGAAAAGTCATGTGAATGACCATGGATATTTTCACTGTGGGTTATATTATTAGGGTAATTTTCTATATTACGTCCGCCGCTCCGACATCGTCGCCCCCGATATAGGGCCCAAGTTTGCCGCTAACAAGGGGTTTCCGCGCAATAAAACCTACATATTTGGATTGTACAGAGTGAGAGGAATCCAACGATACCAAAATCATCAAAATTACTATATTACGTCCGCTGCTCCGACCGCCGCTCCGACATCGTCGCCCCCGATATTGAGCCCAAGGTTGCCGCTAACGGGGGGGTTTCCGCGCAATAAAACCTACATATTTGGATTGTACAGAGTGAGAGGAATCCAACGATACCAAAAGCGTCGATATCGGAGAGGCGAAGGTAATATAGAAAATTACCATATATTTGTCAATGAATCTCCATGAAGACGAAAATGAATTATTCAACAGATTTAATCATTACACACCTGACTTAAAATAACCCACGGCGCAAAGCGAGAGAGCCATCACCTTCAACCGTCAGTTACAGTGTACTAGTTTCTCACGCACGTTTACAGTCTGTCGGTTAGGAGTAACGCTGGCCTTCCCACCTGCCAAGCTTCCCTTAATCTCTCTTATTACCTCGTGTGCCCTCCTTTTACCAGCAAGATATCAAGGCAGTGTGAAGTTAAGACTAGTGTCAAACTCATGGCCTGCAGACCAAATGTAGGCCTAGGGATGTTCATGGATAGCACGCGGGGTAGAAAGAAGAGTTAGAAGCTTGTGACGTTATGGTCCTAATGGAGGAAAGTAACTTGTGATTAAGAAACTGAAAGTTACTGTTACCTTTATTCCATAATGTTAATAGTTATTTTTATTACTGCATTTGCTTGTACAAGGCTATTAGAGAGGGAAGATCCATATTGCTATTATGAATGAATATAATGAGTCCTAAAACAATGATACAGACACTTTGCTATCATTAGTGTCACCTTTTAAAGTCTGATAACCATACAGATACATACTTTCAGCCAGGTGTCAATAACGTAATCCAGGGAGACGTGTTATGTACCTTTGTTGACCCCCCAAGATGAAATGAAAACTGGTCCTCGAAGGCTATTGAGTCTGACAGCCCGGGGTAAGAGAAACGACCCTCTAAAACTAAGCAGCAGCTGCTTTGGTCCTCTGGTCAGCTCATGTCAATTGCCTTAGAGCCACGGAAGTTGAAGACAGCAGCAATCTGCATCAATGGAAATCATAGTTGGCAACTGCCGAACTAAGCCTTGCCTGTTCGTCTTCAGTCATTGAAAATATAAAGTTATATTTGCTACTGACCTTGCTGAACTAATAAAAATATATATACTGATGAGACACTTACCCTAAAAAATCACATAGACTGACTGAGGCAAAAAAGGGGAGAGTTAATGATGATTATGTTTAGCCAAAAAGGATGTCAGCTATAGTTACTGCATTACATTATTATTTGTATGATTTACTCGATAATTTAATAATTACCATAAGTAAAACCCTTTTAACCCCTTTCTCAACAATACTTTACCCTAGTACTATAAGGCTTTTGATGTCTAGCATATCTATTAGTTTAAAGAATTAACAATTAATCACAAGTAAAACCAATATTTCTCGTATTTATGACAATAAAGAATTCCTTACCATGAAGAGCCGATAGAGTACTCTTGGGAAAAGGTTAATTTCATTTCTGGATTCAACTGGCTAACTGGAAGTGGTTAGATGTACCTTGCATATGTAGATACACAAAAATTAGCAGTATCAAATCATGCTAAACATTCTGACACAAGCAACAATACTTTTTTGAAATATAGTTGTCAATGCTACAAAACTGTTGGTATACCTGATTTTCCATCTACTTTTCGGCATGTGTATTGCAAGGCATATTACATCCCTTATGGGAATAAAATCATCTCACAGTGAATCCATATGAATTCCAGAACAACAATTCGAGACGAAACAGAACGAGACAAACTCGATCCCCGAAATAACAACCTTTTTGTAACATAAGGTTCAGTTCATCATGGAATGTTTCGAAAACCTTCCTAACAATAGTTTCCTGTGCAGCTGTACCTCACATAAATCGAGGCTACCTGGTTATATGTTCCTTGCATAAAGTGAGGCTACCTGGTTATATTTTCCTTGCATAAAGTGCCTGTTGTCTGTATAGTTGGTAGTGATGGAAAAAGGTATTACATCTTTTCATGATCACGGTGATGATGATGGTGATGCTTTTGATGATAATGACCGTGATGATCACAATGGTGTTAATAATGATGATCCTATAACGAAAAGACTCATTGCATTTCAGTGATGAATACTGTCAGACATACAGTGTTACCACAACAAATAAAATACAGATGTGAAAAAGATGCATGACTGTAAATCAACCAAAACATTTACGGCCGTCCTTTTGAAAACGCGACTTTCATGAGAAACAAACCAGTTTACCAGGTCAGCAGAAAGGGAAGGGGGGGAGGGGAGGTCCCAATAAACATGTCAGAGTTTCTGTACTAATTGGAGCATCAGTGGAGGCCGGAGGAGGCGGTTCTCAGCTGCTCCAAGGTCTTTCAGGCGCTTTGCTTGAGGCCCGTCACACTCTGCTGTTAG